GTCAGCCGCTGCACAGTAATTCCTCATTGAACACGGCAGCTACGTTTCAGAAAATGATCGTGCTAAGTGAAAACGTGTTACGCGGGGTCAATTTTCCCATTGAAAATAATGGAAAAGGCGGGGGTTGCGTTTCAAGCCCACATGCGCTCGCGGCTCCAGCCTGCACTTGTTAGCAGCTGGGACCGGGACATACGGTTGGGGGAGAAGAGGATGGGGTTATAGCAGAGAGGGGAGGGGTTTGGCTCTGGAGAAGAGAAGGGAAGGACAGGGGAGGGGGCTTCCAGCTGGCAGCTGGGTTTCCCCAGCTGGCCGGTCACCAGCGGCGAACTTCTGCCACTTTGCAGGGAGGCAGGGGAAGCCTCGCGCAGCTGCTGGGCCACCGGCCGGCCCTAGGGGAAATCATGTTATTGCGGGGACAGGATTGTGTTGTTTGAAAAATGTTCTCTAAACAAAAATATCGTGCTATCGCGAAAACGTGTTAAGTGGGCACGTGTTAAGTGAGGAATTACTGTATACCCAAAAAGACTGAGGAATGCATCTTATTTCCCCCCGGAAGGCTAAGCGCCCGCAGTTCCCTCTGAATGAACCTGAGGCCATGCAGTGTAAATGAATGGTATTTCCTATCAGCTGTTTTGCCACATCCAGTGGGCATGCTGTGTCTGGCATGCCACTGAGTTCTGCCAACAGCTAGATCTCCTAGCGGTCTGGGGCTTTTAATAGCTCTGCTCTAGGGAGAACCACTTTTGCGCTGTACCGGGGAAATCAAAAAATCGCCAATAGCTTGATATCTGAGCCTTTTCCCCATTGTGTCCTAATAAATTAAACATAAGTCCCACCACCCGCTCTTGTAGTCAGCCATCTTCTAATAAATCATGTAAATAGAGTCTTGGAGACTCGCTGCCCTTTGTTTCACTAGCCTAGTGTAACTCGGCTGTTAATTGGATCGGAGATAAAAATCTATTTTACCGCATGTTGCTTCAACAAGGTTCTGCAAAGTCTTTCCCGCTCTAATAAACTGTGTCATGGGCACAGACACAGACACACAATCTGAAACGCAGAGACCCTCTCCAGCAAAGCAGGCAGCCAAAGTCTTCCTCTTAATGGCTCTTCAGGGCCATTTTTATTTGTCTCTCTTCTTCAAGCCTTTGGCATTTAGATGAAGATTCACGCTGAGCCTATTTCATTGGAAGAGGCAGTGTGGCTTATCCTGGCTCAGGGTTTAGGCAGGGCCAATTCCCCAATGAGTTGCTTCAAAAAGGCTTGACAAAACATAGACACTTCTGAGCAATTACACCAATCTGTTGGGGGGATTTAATCAGGCTGAGGATATTTATATCCCGTTGGATATGCCTTCTTTTATGGAAAGGGACTGGAAAATTCTGGTGTTTTCATTTGTTCGCTACTCGGGGATTGCACGAGTTTTCAATTTGCAATTACTCTCCTCCCACCCAGATCCTCAGATTATAGGTGCTACATATGAACTAATGCAGAATGTACTTATAATTATGAGAGCAGCACTCGACAGAGTGAATATGGATTTATTATGTAGATGTAACTTCAGAACTTCCTCTCTGAAATTCTAAAACCAGCATTTTTGGCTTTCGGAACAAGGAGCCACATAGGGGCACAAGTTACATAAGGCACTCAGAGGTAAATTTTCTGTCTCATTAAAATGTAGCTGTCCTCGTTAATGCCCTCTGGCTAGCTGCCTATGATGTAAAAGCCACACCAAAGCAGAATTTCAGGCCTCCGGCTTCCTTCCTATGCATGCATTTTAGAGATGTTAATCAAGTCTTTAGAGAAGAGAAATTTCTGTTCGCATCTTCTCTCAGAAGTGAAATCCTAAAATTGCAACTTAGCTAGGAAGAAGACATACATTGTGGTGTTTCATCTCTTACTCTATGCTGGATTCTACCATCATGTCTTTGACAGGTAAGCCAATCCCTTCCATATATAACAATTTACCTGCCAAATACCGTGCACACACAGTATATTACTGGAAAACTTGGATTAGAACGAGTTGAAACATCCAGGGCTCGATATTATAGTCAGTTACATAGCTATACCCCTAAAGACCTTAACTGGATAACGTAAGTGTTAAACCATGTCTCCACTTGCTGGAGTATTGATGCTCTGGTGATCAATCCTCCGGGGTTCCATTTAGTGGGTCTAGTAAAGACCTGCTAAATCAAATGCTGAGGGCACCCATCAGCACTGGTACTCCTCGCTCCCGCAAGGAGTAAGGGAAGTCAATGGGAGCATTTCTCCCATCGAACCCCCGATGTAGGACATGTTTACATGTACAGTCTTTTTTTTTTTTTTTAAAGAGGACCATGTGTTTATTGGCAGATCTAACTTGATTACTTTACCTTCATAGTCCTATTTAATGTTCAAGCATCATAGGGAAACTGCAAGAAAATTAGCGTGGTGGCTTATTTGGACTTGCTACAGACCAAAGTAGCTTTGCTTTCACAACATGCAAAAGCAGCAATTAGCCTCTTGTTAAAAGGCAAGCCGAGGGAGCTTTAATCTAATTGCCTCCTGAAACTGCAGCAGTATTGCCGGTCTCTTGATTTCATTTTAAATTCAGTGCCATATTCCAGGGACATAAAAATAAGTGATGGAGTCTCCAACCTCAGAACTGCCCAGTTGAGAGCAGAGAGAAAGTTGTTAACATATAATGATTATTTGGTGCTCTTGGCCTGTGTAATATACGTGGGTGGGGATCTCGGCCTAATGGACAGGTGACACTAGCAGAAAAACAACCTAGCCCATTGGTAGTCTCAGTAGAGTGATCAGATTGGCCGTTAAATAAAGTTCTCATTCCCAGAGGTCCCTCCAGGTTAGCACGGGGGGGAGCAGGAGCATTGGATCCACGGAGTCGCCTGCCCCCCAACGCCTGCTCTGCTGCTTCTCATAGAGAGGCAGCAGCGCAGCGGAGGGGAGGGGCAGGCGGGAGCTGGCACAGGCGGGAAGCCGGCTCTCTGCACGTATCACAAGACGCTTGCCTGGGAAGTGGGGGGGGGAGCTGGCCAGAAGACAGGGGCTGCTGCCACGCTGTGCTGCTGCCTCTGTATCAGAGGTTTTTTAATTGGCTCCCCTCGCAGACCGGCTCCCACCTGTTTACAGAGGCAGCAGCACAGGGTGGCAGGGGACTGCCAGGGGCCGGGAGCACACTGGATGCCGGCTCCACCCCCAGCGATTATCGAAGTCGTGTAACAGAGAATATTTTGTGTGGTTACATGACTATTAATTAATCGCTATCTATGATGTACTACCCATCTAGTGACCACTTACAGAGAGAAGGATGAGTGCTCTACAGCCTTAGCTGAGCACCAGCTACCTTTTGGCTCATGCACTAAGCTCCAGAGGTCCCAGGTTCAAATCCATCTGCCAGCGTTACATAGGCACAGAATATGAAAAGTGAACTGTGTAAAAATCTGCTTTGATTTTTAAAGCCTTCTTTGCAACCCCAAACTGGGAAGTTTCCTTAAATACAAAGTTCTGCCCTACTAAGATTAACAGAAGCAGGAGGTGAGGTTTACTATAACCAGTGGTTAGCGCTCAAGATGAAATGTAATGTATTTTAGTTGCTCAAGAGCATTGGCCATGAGTCAGAGAGAGTTGTAAAAGTGCATTCCATCCAGTAAGGCATCTCTCAAGCACCTACACTCTCAAGCAGCAGTTTCCACTAGCTCTTCTCTAGAAAACAATTCTTACAAAATTATGTTTGGATTCCTTTTGTTATTTTCCGTCCCTGAGAAGAGTTAATGGTCTTGCACGAGATTCCAATTTGCTAAATGTACTCCACATCTTCTGGAAAAGTCAGACTCATTTTCTTAATTGACTGCTCCTTCGAGTTAGCTTTCTAGCTTACAATACCGAAAGCATAATCAACATGAAAGGAGTTATTTCCTGAAGTAGTTTTAATTTTTAAAAGTGTAACACGGGGATGGGTAGAGCCTGCGGATATCCACAGCCTGTTTTTGTGGATACAGATGCGGATACAAATTTTGTATCTGCACAGGGCTCTAGAGATGGGGGGAAGGGAGCATTCCTATAAGTAAGTCCTTTACGGACTCACATTTCTTACCAATTTAATAAAGGCTGTGTGTCTAATAGGATGGACTCAACACTGAAAGATACTTTTTTCCCTCCTTTCACCACAACCCAAAATAGTGCCAACTCTGGTGGGTAAAGAAACTTCACGGGGTCAATTCCGGATGTTACTTATTAATGAATTCTTTTTTAAATCTGTAGCGTTGAATGCTCTTGAAAGGAGACTTTTCACCGGAATGAAAGGTGATTTCACCGCCTTTGTGTTTCTGCTGCAAATCCATGTCCTCAGTACAGGCAAAGAAGCAGAAGCCCCATCGCTTGAGGCTGGACTGGACAAATGAAAAGTACGGTGAAGGATGCTATACTGCATTGGCCGGGGATGGGACAGAAAGCTTCCCAGTATTTTCCATCTTTAACTTCTATGATGTGACAACTTATACTAAGCCACCCTTGAGGCACATTTTTAAAATGCCTCCCGAGCAGGGAAGGAGGGAGAGAAAGACGAGAGAAACAGAAATCTCCATTTGTACACTTTGATAAATGTATGAGACACTTGGCTACCTCCACAGTGATGGTTTAAGAGCCAAGGCAAGATAAATAGACAGCCAGTCTCCTGGAAGCACTGTTCCTGCCTCCAGCGACAAGTATGATGAATCTGCTCTCTCTCTTTTTTCCCCTCCTCTTACAGATGACCATCGAAGGCAGAGAGGAGAGAAACCAGACCGTTAGTCATGAAGTTCCTCTCCGTGATGAACTCGGCTGATTCCACTGGGAAAAGAAAGTAAAATTGTCTCCCAGAAGAATTTCACTGCTATGTTAAAGCATTTATTTTCCCTTCCCACTTCCACTCACTGCTGCCCCATGCGGATGCCGAATAAAAGCAGAAGTTAATTTCACTTGGAGACATGCTACAGAATAACCAAGGGGCCAGAGAGCAATGACCTGTTTGGAGGTTGCAGATGGAGGTCAGTTGAGGGGTGTCCAGGGTTCTCCACAAAAACCAAGAGGTCTGTGAAATGTGTCAGACTTACCGTACAGGCCTGTATGCAGGCTCACCACAAGCCCTGCCGTAAACGATACCCTTGCCCCAGAGTCTGATATGGCAACTACACTTTGGAGCCGTTTCAAACGGACAGATATGAATTTGCTTTGCTGTGTGCCCAATGAATTTCCGACACGTGTATCGAGATCATCTATGGCACAGATGGGCAATCAGTGGCCTGCAGGCTGGATGCGGCTTGCCAGGGTTAGCTCCTGGTGGGCCACAGGCAATTTATTTACCTGCGCGTCTGCTGGCAACTCCCCTTGGCCATGGATCCTCATTCCCAGCCAATGGGAGCTCTGGGAAGTTCTCTCTCAGTCCACACCACTTCCCACAGCTTTCATGGGCCGGGAATAACAATCCACAGCCAACAGGATCACCGTACCTGTGATCATGCAGGTAAATTAAATACCAATTGCCCACCAAGGGCTAAGCTTGGCAAGTGGCTTCCGGCTTATTGTGCACCTCTGATCTATCTAGGGATGGTCTAGGCGGTACTGGGTCCTGCCATGAGGGCAGGGGACTGGACTCGATGACCTCTCGAGGTCCCTTTCAGTCCTAGTGTTCTATGATTCTATATACCATTTAGACATATATAGTTATCTATATGGCTCTTAGGTTACCAAAGCACTGGAAGGCATCACAATCTTTTATTCCCATTACAACTCTAGGAAGTAGGGAGGTGAGGCACAGAGAGAATAAGTGAGTTGCCCACTGTCACACAGGATGTTAGTGGCGGAGAAGAGAAATAACGCTAGGTCTCGCTCCCAATCCAAGCCTGGTTCCTGAATTCCTAGACAATCCTCTTATGTTCTAAAGTGTTACCAAGAAATTCTGCCTGCCTGCTCAGCATTCCAACACTGGAAAAAGCAATGGCATGCTGAAAGGGCCACAGAATTCAGTGCATAAAATGATTCTGGTGTCTTAAAACAAGCCAGACGTTGGTTAAAGCTCTGGTGAGAAAGGAATAGTCACCAAAACATGCCTCCCATATCTACTCAAAGCCTTTTTGTAAGGGCTGATTTTGAGAGGGGCTGTGTTGTGTGTACTTCCAAAAAACCAAATGTGCTCGCATCCGCCAGAGTGTGGATATAGTTGCACTGTTGTGTGAAACTGAGCTACAAAGCTGTTAAAAATTTCTGGAAGGAAGTAACGCAGGGAAGACAGCATTGGAAAAACACTTTGAAACTCCCAGAAGAGGGGGAAAAGCATTGGCTGGCGGAATCATCCATTCCGATGCCAACAAACATTTTAGCCGCTGGCCCATAGGGCTGTGTGCGCGCACGCACGTACGTGTACAAAATATGAAGGCTTTTTAATTACAGAATGTCTTGTATTGACGTTGTCATAAATATGTATAAAAGGAAAGGCAGGGAGCAAGTCAGGGGTCTGCCTCATGTCTAAATGGATTAGGAGGAGTTAATTTGGATTTATTCAAGACAGGATGATGCCTCTTGCATACTAATAGCGAATTGACTCGACAGTGGGGTGAGTTTTGGCTGGGCTCTCAAACAGATTTGGAACAAATGCTTGTTGTCTGCTTTGATTGGACTAGGATAATAATTTCCAGTACAGACACACACACAGAGAGAGAGAGAGAGAGAACTTGTAGCATTTTGATATACAGGTTGAACCTTTCTACTCCAGAACCCACAGGACCTGACCAATGCCAAACCAAACTGAATCACGGGAGGTCAATATGGTCAGCATTACTGACACTACCACTGCTTGTTGGGCTTTTTGAAGACATTTTGGGGTAAATTAGAGCCAACAGCACAGAACACCAAGCGCCAGGACTGGTGGCTGGAAACAAACTTTATGGGACCACGGGAAACTTGGCCACGCCCATGAGACGTGGACATCCGGCTAACTCAAATCATGCCAGATCACAGATGTTGCTGGACCAGCGAGTACAAGACTAGAGAGGATCAGCACGTACTACAGCCCTGCTGTATCACTATATCCAACGGTATTTTATACTTTTTTTATGAAATATTGCAGGATCTGCAGAGCATCCCACTTTTCCGACGGCTTTTCGGAACAACGCAGCCTATCACCAAGCTGTTATAGCTCTCCAGCAGTGTTTCTCAAACTGTGCTCCGTGGAACCCCAGGGCTCCATGAAACATCTCCAGGGGCTCCGCGAGGTTGACAAACTGGAAACATCGAGAGGTTCAACACATACAATCAGTGGACCACTGGGGCGTCGCATAAATTTTTACGCATATAAAGGGCTCCAGAGCCCAAAAAGCTTGAGAACCGCTGCTCTACAGAGCCATCAGCGTGCCCACCCTGCCTGGCCTGTGCATACGTCCTCCTCTCTCCTTTGGCTGCCTGCTAATCATCTGCTTTCTGCTTTGCAGTCAGCTGTGAGTTTATTGAGCAAACAGGCGCAGAGGTGTATTACAAATGGCCTTCCATTAAGGAGATGAATTCAATAACAGCTTTACCCTCAATGTGATTTTGTTGAGAAAGCATCCAAGCATCCTCTCTTTCTTCTGAAAGCCTGGTACTCGAAGCTGGAGGGTCGGGATCTTTACTGCGTATTTCGGTAAGGATTTGCTCAAGCCAGCACCTTCCAGAGACACAGGGAAACAACAATGATTTTCTGCTAGAATCTGTTTTCTGGAATTAAAATGCAGGCTGGACTCCTCTGGCCCGGTATCCTCGGGACCTGACCAGTCCCATACGAAGATTTTGCCGAACCACAGGAGGTCATTTCTGCCCTACCCCCCAACCCTGGCCTGGCCACAGGCCTCCAGGATGGCTCCCCATCTGCCACCAGCCCCACTGCCCTGCTGGCCCTACCAGGCAGCCCGGCTGCCATGCGCCAAGTTCCTGGCCCCTCTACCCTGCCGGCCCTCAGGCCTCCCAGACATCAGCCTGCCACTGGGACATTGTGGGCTTGGAACATCCATGGTCCTGCTGGACCAGTGATGTTGCCGGACCAGAGAGTCCTGGTTCAGAGAAGGGCAACCTGTAGTTAAGAATAACAAATTATGCCGCATCGTTCAGCTGCTTCCCTTAACTATGTGAACACACGGTCGTATATGATTTATATCCCCATTTGCAGTTTTTAAGAGGGAGAACTAGGAAAACAAAGAGCCTCAGAGTCGGGGGCTGCTGACCCACAGAAAGATCAGTCGGGGGAGGGGGTGCACAAAAGTGAGACACTGAAACTGTACACACACATTCTCCTTGCACACCAGAGCTTGGGGGGCCCAGACTAGTTGATTTTGTGGGGGGCCCCTAGTCTCTGGCAAAAAAGAAGGGGTTTGGTGTGTGGGAGGGAACTGCTGGGAAGCAGGTTTGGCGTGTGGGGTCAGGGCAGGAGGACAAGAGAAGTGACAGAGTGGGGGTGCGGGGTCTGAGTGGGAGGGGGGCCACAGGGCTGGAGCACCAGCTCGCCAGTGTTGGAGGGGGGCTCCTCAAGCCTCAGGGACCAGATCTAGGCAAGCCGGGGGGCAGATCTGGCCCCTGGGCCGTAGAGTCCCCACCCCTGCTCTAGGCCTGTGTGTGACATTTCCAAATGTAAAGAAATCAGGAGAAACTTTCACACGAGGGACTTTCTTCGGTAGCCACCCAAGCTCTCGGTGCGCGAGTGCAGCGCAATTGGTCTTCTCCGCCTGAATGTGGCCTGAATTTAACATTCTGGCGGTTCCCGGAGTCTCAGCTCTGCTTGCTTTCCCCTCCTTTCATTTTAACTTTCGGTTTCATTTCCGCGGATTTCTCTAGTCTCCAGGGACAAACGGATTAATTCTTTTTTCCACCTCATGGTCCCATACGCCCCTTGTTCAATCTTTCCTGCCTCAGTGAGATCTTAATAAATGCTGCTTCTGGGAGAACCAGGATTGGATAGCCGAACTGTAATTAATTCTTTTACTTCCTCTGTTGCTTCAAAACGCTATTTACAGTCTTCAGGCCTTGGAGGACCAGAAGTTTGCAGGCTGACTTAAGATTTCTGTTTTTGATTAATACTTTGCCTCCACCTCTGTTTCTCCTTCCTTCTTGGTCTGTGTTTTTTTAAATCCGTTCCACTCTTAACACATGAAAACACGGACTGATTTTCAATGCAAAATTGAAGTCTGGAGGAAACAATAAGGCAGTATTTGGTCTTTCCTCGCACTGTGTTATTTGAAAGCTTCTTAGTCTAAGCCAGCTCCTTCTGACAATATGTCCATTTCCATACCGAGTAACAACGACCTACTGTGTCTGTAATCTTCTCAATTGCCTTCTATTCTCTCTCTCATATCAGCTCTCGAGAGTTTAACACCAGAGCACTGATTGCGAGCCAAATGGATGCAGAGGACACTCAGACAAGAGCAGAAAGATGCTGGCAGTTTGGAGGGGGCTCGGAGAGGAGGGACAGAAATGATGAGAGGGCTGAGAAGGAGAAACCGCAAAAGAAAGATGTCAAGCATTTGCAGCTGCTAAGAGATTTTCAAAGGGGACCACGACGAGGAATTGAAAGATGCGATTGCTGAATAGCAATCATGTAGGGAGAGACAACAGGATACAAACAGGAACTTGACAAAATTAATCAAATGAAAATACAGGCAGAAGATCAGGAAAAACCTACTGAGAAAAAGAGACTTCCCCCTCCTTCCCCTTCCATCAAGCTGGCCCTTTCAGATTACACTCAAAAGCTTCTGCCTCGTTACTGGGGCGATTAGTGCACCAGTAATAGGCTAGACAGCTGGATTCCATATGCCAGGAAGCTGAACGTGGCCTGTGAAGAAGTGTCCATTCCCCGCCTTGCCTCTGTTCTGGATGAGACTCATCCCACCTCTGTGCACACAGACTCGTCACGGCCATCACAGCGGGGGAGGAAGCTACAGGTTGAACCTCTCTAGTTCAGCACTCTTGGGACCTGACCTATTCCGAAGGAGAGAATCTTCCAGACCACAGACGCTCACTATTGTCT